TCTCCTGAATAAAACGACAATTATACAAAAGTCTGTTACAGATAATACGACAATAATAACTCATGAGTAAATAGTCTGTTGTAGTTTAAACATTACATACAATGATAAACTCATATTATGGCAACATGTTCTATATATTATCATTTATGTATACATATCTCTGTGTGTTGTATTTCAGAATATTCATGTTTATTGATAGTAGTAATGAATAAATGTCAGGAAAGAAATATTCTTCAAAATAATGGAAACTGCAAAGAAAAAATTTCAACATCATCGAGTTCTCAACCTGACTAAAGTGATCTGCCATTGAAAAAAAATTTGGATCGCATTGCGAAACGCTATCATGACTTGAACCAATATCTTTCTCCTTTCATGTATACAATATTACATGTTAGCGAGTAATGTTTCAGCGAATCAAATCGACACTTAAGATTATAGGTAACATTTACTTTTGATTCTCTTGTTTTTTTCCCAGTATCCTTTTAACCTTGAAGTAGATATTCCTTTTGGGCGCATCTTTGTGGGATCATTCACATTTCGCTCTTTACTCAGTGTCTTCTTCTTCTTTGATTTTGAATTTTTCTGAGGTTCTCGTCCACTCAGTATGGCTTCAACATCGATTGTTGGTTTATTAAATGCTTCCAACACAAGCTTCTCGGCAAGTTCATGACCTTGTGTTTTGGTGCCGATCTGGTATGCAAATTTATGAATGTGATTGAGATAGATGAGTCCACTTATAGAATTTGACAACGTTTATGACCCCTAATGATGTGCATAACAATAACTGTTATATATGTTCATTTTAGCATTAATAGACCACCGAAGTAATATATATTTATCAGGGATTTTTGTTACCTGAAGAACCCTTAGAGCTTGAGCACATAATAAGCCCGTCATTTCAAGTTTTTTACAACTACAAGTAATATCGGAATTACCTCTGTCTAGTTTAACAATCCAGAGTCTATCTCTGTTCTTATTATCGAGAGTTCGAATATGAAATTTTGAATCCATATTAGCGGAGCATTCCACGGCAAGCCCACACAAACCATGTAGAAATTGTGCTTCAAACATTGAATATAACTTTCTTGTGTAAAGTAGAGCAACCTGTCGAGCAACCTGTCTCAAGTCTCAACATGAGACTAACTTTTACAGTGGGAGAAATTGCAGACTGCTGACATTTAAAATCTTCATCCTTCTCATTTCTTCTCCAAGATTTCAAGACATTTTCAAAACCCAAAAAACATTCGGTGAGGGTGTTTGTTTCCTTGGAGACACCATAGCAAATCTTATTAGTGGACCCACTTCTTTGAGTTGATAGGATTCCCATTCCAAAAATTTCTTTATTGAAAGCAGTTGACCACTTATGCCTGATATTATACAATTCATCCAACCAAACATTCTCGTGTAGGTTTTCTTTCTCGATCATTTCACCCCAAGTTTCTTCGAACTCCTCTTCTGAGTCACATCTGCTCAAGCATTTATAAAAAAGATCATTGACTCTCTTTCTACCCACGCCACAGTGGACTTTTGAAGATAATTTCTTGTAAATATGTCATTGACATAATCTATGTATGGTGTGTGGAAGACACTCTTCAATGGCTTTAGACATTGCTTGATCCTCTGGTCAGTGAATATTGATTGGATGCTTGTTATTCATTATACGGATAAAGGCTTTGAATAACCACTTGAATGATTCAATCATTTCATCTGACAAAAAACCAACACCAAATAGAACATTCTGTCATTGGTGATTCACACTGACAATCGGAGCACAACATAAATTGTATAAATTATATTTATTCAGCCTATAACTTGTATCAAATATCATTACATCCCCAAAGCAGTCGTAATCAATCTTGGATATCCCATCACACCATAAAAAATTCACCAAACAGCCCGACCCATCAATTTGGAAGTCCCACGCAAACATTGGATCCTCCGTTTGCCACGTAGTGGACAATTGTATGAGAGAATTAGCATCCCCCAGTTCAATTTGAACTCTTCTCTCTCTTTGTATGAAATTATATGCATCCCTCTTCGTGCAATCAAGATTCTCCACTCATCTGACCTCAGTAGCGAGGGATTTGAATGAATCACTGGTTCTAATCCCTGATTTATCATTGATTTGAGGATATCAGCACTGATGTCACACATCTTTCTGCTGGAACGCAATAGATGTTTGTTACTGTCCTCTGCCAATGGATGGTTGTGACTTTCTATAAATTTTTTAACTGACCAGTTGCCTTCTAAATCAAAGAAATATCGGATCATGGTTGTACAATCAGTCATTGTGTCTGCTCTTCTGAACCTCACCGTGATAGTGTCCTTCAACTCTTTCTTGAAACTAGTCTTACCACAAACAAAGTCCTTTGTCTTAAGCTTCTTTGAATTAAGCCAGAAACCACTGTGTTTTTTTCGCACAGTAAATCCAATATAGTGTGCATATACACAGTACTGTTCATAGGCTTCCTTCTTATTGCGGACAACTGCATGAAGTAATTGCTCTGTCTCGGGTGACTGCAAATTTAAACATCAGCATTAGCGCCCCAAAAGGAAATTGATACAAGGCTACAATACAACAATCACAACATCATAATACTATAATATAACCCAAATAACAACATTACAATGCCAATATAATAGGCCAATCAATTCCCGCTAAGAAATATTACTAGCATCATCGTTAAAAGCCTATAATAGACACATAACACCGTGATAAACCACAATAAAGCCCTGATAACACAATTAGAATGCCAATATAAGACTCCGATAAAATGTCTAATTATATCAAATAACACTATGATGACACCATGGTAATAACAAAACAACACCACATTACCACCCCATCATATAGGAGACCTTACAGGCAAAAAACACATGCATAACACCATTAAAAGTCAACATAGTACAAAAAAAAAACCAAGTCAGCAGATCTAATATTACCTTAATAACACTATGATACGACCAAAATAACACCAAATCCCCACGATAGTAACGTTACAAGCAAATGATATTATAACACTTTGACACCATTACGGCGACGAGAATAGCTATCCATTAATCTCATCACGGCGACGAGAACAACACTTCATTATGATAATTATTTAACCCACTAAAACTATGAAAAACAATCAGAAATGAAAAACAACACAAAAAAACAACTAGTATATCGTCGTAATGTTACCTAAATAGCATCACGTCCCACCCTAACCAAAACTTAGCGTTGCACGTCAGATAAGAACCGAGCAAACTTCTTTAACAGAATAAATATTCCTTAAAACCTAAATCTGCAGTAAAACAAGTGTAACATACCTGCCGAATTCCTTCTATCGCATCTAAACTCAGCTCATTCTCATGGTTCTTAAAAATATTTTGAGATTCCAACTCACTGTCACGTTTCTCGCAAGTATTTTGAGATTCCAACAACATTTTCTCGTCAAGAAATACTTCCATCGAACCAGATGCACTGAATACAAATATATCTTAGAAAGACAACGAAATGAGAATATCTCGAATCTCTATACCTAAATGAGACAAAGTACATCTTTTTTCCAATTGGCGGGAAGCGAAAATGACAAAAGTGTGTGTTTTTTTTTTTTTGCTTGGGCGGGATTCGGGTCAGGTCAGGCGTAATATAATAGATTTTGCTTGACAGGGATTCGGGCCAGGTCTGACGTAATATAATAGAGTTTGAAACCTAAATAATAATAGTCAGGCGTAATATAATAGAGTTTGAAACCTAAATAATAATAATGGGGCCAGATTCCATGTGGCATTTTCTAATTGGCTACCGCATGCAGGCTTCCATGCGTTGCACGTATGGAATAATTTTTCGTCAAAACAACCCTCAACTATTTGCATGGGGTCGTTTAAGTCTTGGAGTTAGAATTAAAAAAAATAGTCCACAGACTCTTTAAATTGAAGTTGAAATAGCCCCCATGGAGAACTACTAAAGCTCAATACTCAATTTTAAAATAGTCGGTGGCTACTTTGACACTTATATAAACTCTCAGACTAAAATAACTCCATCGAATAGTCAAGTCGTAAAATATCACGGCCTTTAATAAAATAATGTGCTCATTAAAACAGCCCTCAACTCTTTAATATTTAATTTTTTATGCCAAACTCAACTCTAGGTATTGTTATTGTAATATATGAATTAGAGACTTAATATTGTGTTGTCATGTCTTGGTCAATAAAATCCTAGCATGAGGATGGGGCATGCATGATATTGACATAAGCCACTTGAGTGCCTAAATGTTTGCAATTACACTTATTTTGCTCATTTACTTGTTATTTAAATTACTATTTTTATTATAATATAGTAATTTCCAATGGCATTTGTTGTAAATATTCTGACTAGGGGATTTCACCTCTTAATTCATATGCATTTACATCTCTAAGACCCATACTTCAATTTTTACATATATGCCCATCTTACATATGCTTAAAAATATATATTTCACTTTTTAAAAATTTAAAATAGCGATATTTTTTATATGATATAAATGTAAAAAAATAAAATTTCAGTATTAAATATATAAATACATAGGAATTTGATGGTATGTATGTAAATGCTCCACAAAACCAAGCAAAAAGTTCATAATCATATACTATTTCAAGAGCATGCCAAATCACTTGTTCTTATCAAATACACCCCATTCATTACTTCCTCATGCTACAGCAATTTAGCATAAATTCATGTTTGTTTACGTACATAACACCCGAAATATTACTATTTACAAATCTAGCACCACTTTTCGTCCATCTTTTCAAATTCCGCTAAAATATCAAAATTCATACCCATATTTTTTTCATTTTTATCAAATTCTCAATGATTTGATCGTGGGCAGTCCAAAAATATCACATGGATGCTATATTTTATAAATAGCAATATTTCAGATGCTATGTATGTAATTATCCGTAAAACGAATATACAAAAAAAAAAAAGAAATTCTCCACCAGATTAACATACATTATTTTACTCCAATGAAAATATTTTAACAGTAACAGACTTGACAAGACTTAAAATTTCTCCAAAATCAACAGTGTTACAATAACCATAATTACATAATTACTATTAATTAATGCAGCTAATCCTTCAATATAACAATAATAAATCTCTGTTAACTATGATAAGGAGGAAAGAGTATCTGTGTTATGCATTGCAGAGAAAAAGGCAATCAGAATCCACATCATGAGTATGGCTATAATGGCAGTTCTTAGAACATGATCACAACTTCTGAGGAATGGAAGTTCAGAGGAAATGAAATCATTTGCATCTACATCATCATAATCCATACTTCCACTGGACTCACCTTCGCCGATCTCGCAAATGAGATTAGAGGGGTTGTTCGTTGACAGATGTTTGCAGCTCGAGCAGTCGCAATCGGTTCCGAGGAATGCTGGTAATGTTTTGAGTAGTTCCGAGAGAATTTTGTGGTTCTTGTTGCCGAGAATTCGAACTTTTTCGCGCGTGGTCGGACGGAGAATCTGATGAATAAGAGAGAAACTGGTGTTGGGATGGATTTCTTATTTGTGAATGGTGAGGAACAAGCTAAGAAGGATAGTTTAGGAAGCACAATGAGGGCAGAACTATGGATGCATTAGCAATGATTTTTGTTATGTATAGCAAATTATGTTGTAAATTTGAATATCTAACACCTAAACTTTCTTTAATATATTTATAACACCTAAACTTTCATATAGATAAGAATATGATAGATTATTTACATCATCTATAATTCAAAAGGTGGTCAATTTGGAACCAATCCAGATAGAACTATTACACATGCAAAATATCAACTTCATAGTTCAGTCGTTCATGATAAGTAATCATAGAAAAACACTTAAGAAAATAAAAAGGGGTATTTACATAAATACCACTCTGATCTCATGTATTGACATATCTAACACCTATATTTTACTTTCTACATCTATAACAACCAAATCTTTTTTGCCACAACAAAAATACCACCATTTTCTCTTTTAAAGAGTGAAATACATCTTTTCATGCATAGGGAAGGCGGTATGTATGTAAAAATTGAAGTTTAGATGTTAGATATGTAAATACAAAGGAATTAGGGGGTATGTATGCAAATGCCACAAAAGAAATTTGTCTATTTATAAAAAAGAGCAAGCATTAGTTAAGAAAAGGAGTATCATCTTACCTGAAGAAAAGTTTGAGCGAGAACTTGGACAACAGGAGGTAGTCTTAATATGAACAATGTTCCTAATCGATTAGGATAATGATCTTGTACAAGAATAGAACATGATCTCATCATATTCATGGGAAATCTAAATGGAGATAGACCGTCACAATCCATCAAAACTGTAATTTGCGAATTTTTTTTATCAGTCAGATTCAGTACAGCATAGTCAATCTGAGACACTGCATCATAAATAAATTATGTTAGGTAAGTGTGGTTTATATTTACATCAGAGAAA